CCCCCACCCCACGCCGCCCGTCACCTCTTTCCTGAACACTATATTTCATCACTTGATGATGCAAATTTTTTTAAAGATTATGTGGGCCAAATTTTAGACTCATCGAATTGCATTCTATTTAACTATTGAAATGAGAAATTCGCTTTCAATCCCTTAACTTTCAACAAGTAATTATTTTATTACACATATTCCCACGGAATAACAATTTATAATTTTATAATTTCGATGTTTTTATGTTAAAAATAGAGCTGAATTTATCTTATCCAGGCTAATGCATTATAACGTTATTAAAATGAAATTATCATTAGAATTGATAAACTTTAATGCTTCACTATACCGTTTATTTGGTGCAGGTAATTGTAATGTAAATTATGATATCACGTCAAACGTCTTGGATATTATTGATTAGACGATTAATATAGAACGTTATTGTAAATTTAATTAACGTTTTAGCGAAACTTTTTCCCATCAGTATTATTTATTACGCGCGTTCACAGATTTTCTAAAAGCGAATTTTTACGTATGTTCAATTTAGACATTTAAGTCGAAACTTATTTTCAATTGCATCATAAGAAAAGAAAAAAAAAAGAATGAAAAATGTCGATACGATAATATGGAAAGATGGATAAATTTAATGGAAAATTTTTTATGGAATTTTTAATGGAAAATCTCTTGTTTGTAAATGAGACAATATTATTATTCTGTCGCATTGTATTGGATTAACGAAAGACAAAATTGAAAAAAAAAAAAAAAATAAAAAAAAAAAAATAAAAAAGAAAATTGTATTGTTACTACATTTGTATAAATTCGTTATGAAAGTCATCGAATTAAATCAAACAAATTATTCGAGTAGTAAAGTCTCTCTCTAATCATAAATCTAATTTCAACTGTTTCTACAATCACTCATAATCACATATTCATGCGTTATCCAACAAAACTACCTTGTTTCGCTCCAATACGAGTTTATCTGACGTCATAGCAGAATATTCTCATGGTCATGGTAACGCAAGAGAACATTTTATTCCTGGCACAGATCTAACTATTGTCTTAATCGATGGTGGAATTTCAATCTCTACTATGCTGTCCATTACTTTCGTAACAATGAATAAACACCATGTTTTTCTCCACTTTCTCACCTTGAACAAAATCTGTGAATGCAATATCTAAGCGCGAGTATGTACACATCGCGAGTATATGCATCCAAGATAATTATATCTTTGGATCGTTACATGATATTATGCATCAGTGCTCGCGCTGCTGAACTTTCTCTTGAAGCCTGCGCGTACCTGTCTATAGTGCCTCTTCGTTCTTTCCATTTAACATACGCAGACGAATTATAACTTTTTGAAAATTCAATGTTTTCTACTATTAATGCCGCCATCATGTAAGAATTTAAACTGGAAATTTATATAAAGAATACAGAGTATTGTGATTTTATCAGAGAATATGAATTTTCATTAATACTATAGGCTAATATTTTCTTTAAAAATTTGACTTCCACAAATGCTTCTGTTTAAATTAGCATTATTATAAAGAGATTTTTTTAATTTATATCTTTTTATAATAATAAATAGTTATAAAAAGATGAAATCCAATAGATTTGAGAGAATAGGAAATCAATTTATTTATTCTTCAAGATATTTATTAATATTCGTTCGTTTATTATTACATATCAATATCAATTAAAATATTATTTTTATAACAAGAAAATTAAATTACTTTAAGAGTATTATAATAATAATTGCACACCCAATGTACACGTGACTTTGGATTATACAGATGTATAGGATATAAATATCAATCTCTATCGATATAATAAATTTGTTTAAATTGTCTCAAAATACTTTAAGCATATTTGAATTGCAGAGAATATGTAAGGTATGAAACGTATTTATCTTCGAGGGAAAAAATTTACGTTACAATGATGTAAGTTTAAAGATTATCTAACTAAATAAATATTTAAGGCTTAAGTCGAAAAATTAATATAATTTCAAATAATAAAATTATTCCCATAATGAACGAGATACAAAATACCAACAACAACAAAAAAAAAAAAAAAAAAAAAAAAAAAAAAAAAAAAAATAAAAAAAAGAAAAAAAATTATCAATCAATATAAATAAACAAATAATTACAGTATATCTAAACTATTTTTTTATCAAGTAATAAAGTATGCTTTACGAGAATTTTCGCAATGATTTAGTAGACACTTAAAGTGTTATGGGTATATAGCCCTTTAAAAAACGACGAAAACATACGTAGAAGCAGAAGAACTCAAGGAACCCGAAAGAGAAGAAAAAAAACGTCGATACCTCATTGAAAATAAAAATCCCAGCGCGTTGTTCATTAAGACATTTTTTCGCTCTTTCTCTCTCTCTCTCTCTCTCACACACACACACACACACACACACACACACACACACACTCACACTCACTCACTCACTCACTCACTCACTCACTCACTCACTCACTCACTCACTCACTCACTCACTCACTCACTCACTCACTCACTCACTCACTCACTCACTCTCTCTCTCTCTCTCTCTCTCTCTCCTCCTCCTCATTTACCCTCTCACTCTTTCACTCTCCCCCCTTCTACCAATGGCTTCTTCCTCGCTCTTTCTTTCTCCCTCTGTATGTCTAACTCTTATTTACCCTCTCCTACTCTCTCCCTCTCTCTCTCTCTCTCTCTCTCTCTCTTTATTCTCACCCTCTCTCATTCTTGCTCTTTATCTCTCACTATTTTTTTTCTTTTTTCTTATCGTTACTTTAACCGTGAGTAGAACGATATTAAATATACGTAAGACTATTTCAAGATTTTCATGTTAGATTTTAATTCTAAATTAGTTGTAGATATTTACAATTCCTTGAATATAATAAATTTGGCATTGTAAGGAAATTTATTAATCTACACTGTTCTAATCTAATATTTATAAATCTACATTGTTTGTAAATTTATTATAAAGTCGCGCTAATTAAGATATTAATTTTAATGAAAATGTAAATTCAAAAAAGTTTTTTTTTTTTAAAAATTGTATGCAGTTGTGCTTAGCTACATGTAGTGCCTAAGCAATATAATAATGTAATTAATCGCTTTATTTTAAATAGAATTGAATTTTTTAATCTAATCGAGGAAAAAAGGCGTAAATATACATTGTTAAAGTGAAAGCTCAATTTAATTGATTTTTATTCATCTATAATGTTGGAATCTCTCTGTAAAATGTTTAAAGTACATATGCATTGGAGATGTGCATACGAGGAAAAGCTGAAATAACTCCTCCATAATGATGGACAAGTGTTTTTGCCTTTCGAAATAAATCATTCCCCTCTTGCGCCTTTACTGCACACTCAAGAGGGAGATGCACTGGCTATTCAGGATGAATGACGATGACGTCGTGTAAGCATGAAGGAGGAGGAGAAGATGAAAAAAGAAAGATAAAGAAGTGGATACGGGAGATGCGGCCGAAGAGGAATGAGAGTGAGAGAGTGAGAGAGTGAGAGAGTGAGAGAGTGAGAGAGAGAGAGAGAGAGAGAG